ATGGTGGGGTTGGGTTGACGGTTGGACTTCATGATCTGAGAGGTCTTTTCCAACCTATCATTCTATGATTCTATGCTTCTCTTCCATGTGATCCTACAAGCCAGATGACAGTAGCTGCACCGGTCTTGCCATCTGTTGCTTAATGCCATCCATGGACACACTGCGTATCTTCCTCTGCAGCAGCTCACGCAGGATACACATTCTTCTCGCGTTTTCTGAAAACAGAATGGAGTAGCGTTTCCTTCCCACTCTTGCTTCTCTCTGTCTCCCCCTGGTAATGCCTGACATTTCCTTTCTGTCTCTTGCTGATGGTGCCATCACTGGGCATAGTACTTGCCAGCAGTGGGAAGGAAACCAACCTCCCTATCTACCTGGGCTGCCATCTGAACAGGTGGGACAAAACAAGCTGGGCACACCACCACCTCCTCCGCAACAAGATTCCCACTGGGAAATTTCCAAGACTTGCAGAGGAGGATTGAGGCAGTGGGGAGAACTGGCTGTGCTTTTCTCTGCAGAAGGAAGCAATATGCAGGGGAGTGAGGTGTGTTCCCAGGCTGTCCTTCCAATATAGACAGCATCTCAAAGACTGGGCATCACAGGGGATTTTGAGGAAAACTAGAAGCTAGCTCCAGTTTCAACCACAAGAGAATTTTCTGGCTGCAGTCAGACCATGCCTCAGTGTATGTATCCTCAGAAGTGAATGTCACTGTGGCTCCTTCCCTTTCCTCAGACCTGAGTTCATTTCCAGAGGAAAAGTTAATGTGCCAAGGAGTGGTGAGCATACAGGTCTTGTTCTGACTGGTAGTTGGGATGTGGCCAGGACGTCCACCTGAAAACAAGGACTGCAGGTGCCATCATGAAGTATGCTAATTTGATAAACTTTTTGTCCTTTCCACCCAACTTCCTGGTTCAATATGCAAGGACTGTCTTTCTGAAGCTTTCAGAAAGTGCTATACCTGACAGTATACCTTCACCTCTGCTTCTTGCCATGACATCTGCGGCCTCTTGAACCAAGACAGACTTGAGACATAATGCATGTTTGTCGTGTGTTGGAGGAAGATATCTCTTTCAGATAAATCCATGTCAAAGAGGAATAGATTACAAGGAAGCCTTTTGCATTATTCTACATCTGTGCAGACACCTACTGTGTACAGAGTCTATACCTGCCTAAACCCCGAGTGCTGCTGTTGGGGTGGACTAGTCAAGGGCATTAGCTTCACTCAGGAACGTGACTGAAACTGTTGCTCAGAGTTTCACCACTTCTTCAACAGTGGCTGCGCAAAGCAGAGATGGGGACCAAGTCCTCTGTCTGCCTTCACTTACTGTGTTGTACAACTGATGTAAAAGAATGGGTTTGTACTTGTGTGTATGTATACGTGTCTCTGTGTGTGTTTGCAGGGAGATGGGATCAAGAACTTCCCTTCAGCGATTCTGCAGGCAAACCCCGTACCACCTCCCAAGATCTCTCTTTCGTCGGGACATCTCAACAAAAACTTTGCCTTCCAAATTTGGGGCATGGAGACTGTTTCTAGCAAGTTACATTTTCTTGCAAACCAGTCTCCTGGTGTGAGTTTTGCTCTGTCCCGTACCACCTCCCAGAAGCCAGAACTGCAGCTGCCTTTAAAATCTCCAGTAAAACATTGGTCGCTCTCTGTGTGTCTTATCTGCCCCTTTTTCCTTCCTCAAAACCCTGTTGCTATGGTTTCCAGAAATGGGTTGTAGAAATAAAAAAGAGAAGTCCATCGCAATATTTTTGTCTGCTGTTATGTTGGACAGGACAACAAAGTTTTCTCCATTGTGAAAAGATCTCAGCAACTTTAGAAAATAGAAGGCCAAGACCTTACAACAGCCAAGCTTTTGGTCCAGTGGCTAAAAGAGAAACCTGGCAAATACATTACTTCAGGTGGAAATGACGCAAATTTGTGCTGAGATTTTTGATGGATTAAAAAAAAAATCACCCAGAAATGATTTTTCAAGATGTATTTTTAGTCCCAAACTGGAAACTCCCAGGTCTTCAGGGAGTATGGATATCACTGATGAAAGGGGAGGAATATACAGGCAGAGGTTTGGGGAATTTAGAGGAAGCAGAGCATCACTCAAGACTTCTGTGTGTCTGATTTGCAGTAATGCCTCAGATAGGGGTGTGCTACCCTTTTCCCACATTAGAAATCCCTCCTGGGGAGACTCTGGCTATTATCCTTCATGTGGTATTTGACTGCTTTCTCTCTCCTTCATTGCCACGCTTAATCATGCCCCACATCTCAGCAGGATCTCCAAAATCCATCTCTGTTCTGCTACATCCTGGGCAAACGCTTGTTGGTATTGACTGCTACACAGCCTGCTCTGTCGCTTCCCTCACACGTGGTTCTCCTAAAGCGTTCACAGCCTTTCTCACGCGCTCTGCAGATGAACACTAGGTTGTTCCTGCTCCTGGCCACTCCAGCACACCTGCAGTAATATTCTCACCTGCAGGTGCCAAATGCACTGAAAAGTTCAAACCTCCATGCAGGGAGGCTGGGTTGGCGGGGAGCTGGGACTTGTCACTCAGAAGACAGCCTCGTGCTAAGAGCAGAATTAGCATTTATTGATATGGGGTTTTTTTAACTTCTCAACACAGAATATGCTGAAGGAAGAAGGAAACATTAAACACAAGCCATGACTAATAGTTGCATTCGGGGGTGGGCCAAGCACACTCCACTGAATGCTCTTCTTTCAAATTCTGCTCCAGTGATCTGTAGGACCAGTATCCTTTATCAACTGGATAAGGAATCAAGGCAAGTACTGGAGGCTCAGCATCCATCTGTGAAGGAGGACAGTGAAAAGGGTCATAGTAGGTCCTTTGACATCAACCTCAGTGATTTCATCTAGGACTGGTCTCCAGCTTGGAAAGAGATGCAGGGGCACAGGCTGGGAACTGAGGTCCTTCAGAGGGGGATCCTGTAAGAGGTTCGCTCATCCTACATCACGAGATAAAACATTTGCGTGGTATCAGGCCAGCTTTTCATCAGCTCTTTCATGAGCTGCCCTTTCTCAAGGATACTCCCTCAGGTCCTTCATCCACAGTGGAGTTTCATTCCTCAGACAACTTTGACTGCCTGTTCACAAATTCGATAGCAGCTTGTGAAGCAAAGGATGTTATTCCAGTTACTGTAAGTGTTGGAGTCAGTCTTTCCCTTGATGTGAATTGCAGCACATTTTTCTGCAAAGAGTAAATTGGGTTCCCCAGGTTTCCAGAACCTGTAAAAGAAAGTTGCTTTATTGGGAATGCATCGGCATGCGTGACAGTGGGGGTGAAGTCAACTCAAACGGTTCTGGAAGAGAAAAGGGAAGGTTACTGTAACAGAGATCAGGAGACATAGTTGTGTTTAGAAAACTACTCAAGTTTTCTGACTTACAGGGCAGTTGGAGTGAAAGATTCCCCTCCGACACATACCCGCCTTAGACACTGTATTGGTCGCTTGGATTGAGGGGTGTGAAGTACAGGACCTTCATCACTCCCCCGGGATACTCACGTGGCTGCCTTCTCATATGGAGTCTGATCCACCCACTGCCATTGCCCGTTTCCAGAAGCACTTAATCCTATGTAGTATTTTGTTTCATAGGCGTTAGTAGCTGCTCCTTTCGCCAAGTTGTAGAGAAACTCCTGGAAAAAGCACAATGTCCATGAGGTGCAGGACTGAGGGGAGGGAGGTGGCGTGGGTCCCCATGGGATGGGGCTGGGGCAGAGGGGAGACGGTGCTGAAGGGCTGCAGAAAGGGCATCCCCACTCGCCTGTGGGAGCTGAGGGGATCTGAGTCCCCTCCAGGGCCTGGCACTGTGTCGCTGGCTGCTGTGCCCCCCTCAGCCCTGCACCTACCTGCTCTGCTTCACTGGTGATCACTGCCAGGTGGGAGCCCATCCCAGTGCAGTTCTGCTCACTCTCAGCCAGGGGCATCAAGTCAGCCGACAGGTAGTAGCAGCTCTTTTGAAAGCGTTTCCAGCCCTTCGGGCAGCACGTCCAGCCTTGCTCTCTTCTGTGGGGAAAAAGGAATCCTGCCTTTGAACAAGATGCGCTGTCCTTCATCTTGGTGAGCTCAATGTAGGGTCCCAATGTTAGGGGAGGGGTTTGAACCACACTTTCAAGCTGCACAGAGGTAAAAGCTGTCTTCCATGATCCCCTAGTAAAGCTGTCAACAGCCTGATAAGCTCCTGTCACAAGGCCCCTGCCTGAAGTGCCTTTCCTATTCTCTATCTGTTCTGCCATGTCCATGCAACCGCCACTGTCTTCCATGATCCCCAGGTAAAACTGTCACCAGCCTGGCAAGCTCCAGTCACAAGGCCCCTGCCTGAAGTGCTTTTCCTATTCCCTATCTGTTCTGCCATGTCCATGCAACCGCTGTTTGGTGAGAGACACAGTTTCTGTCACATGAAGGATTAAAAAAATCACAGATATATGAGGCTACATACTTTGAGGCTATATATCTGTATGTATGTGCTGTATACGTTATAGTCTGAATATATCTCTGTATAGAATATATGAAGCTGAATGAAGTCAACAAGCAAATACACCCTAGTATGTACTACCTTAGATGCTTGCTCTGAATCTCGACCTCATGGAGACTCTCTTCGTGGCTTTCCCACTCAGGAGCTCTTCAGGGGATTGCATGCAGTGACAATTCCCTGATCAAGCCAAAGCTCCAGCCCACTCATAGCAAGCGAGCACATCATATTCATACTACAAGGTGGACCCAAGCCTGTACCCTTCAAGAGCTGTCTTCACAGCACAGAATCTCACATCCCCTTCTTCGCACCCAGTGGATGGAGTAGATTCCAGTGAGTGGAACAGTTAGCAAAACCTTCGTTACCCTACCTGGGTTTTCACGTGTTAGATCCACTCAAGGTGCACCATTATGTACCTTTGTAGAAACCGAGATCGTGGCACTAAAGAGCATCAGAAAATATGCAAAATCTAGTTCAAGCAGCCTAAGGAACAGGAAGCTCTGTCTCTGTGCTGCCCACTCTGATCTTCCACTGAACTGCTGGAGGACGGCCCATAGCCATCATGTACTTTGCAAAACTTTTCCATGCATTCCTAATTCCACAATGAAAGCTAAAGTTTTCCCACATGACTATGCAGTGCTGGACAATTTCTTCGGAATTCTTCAGTGTGTTGGTTGGTAGAGTCTGTCTGCTGTTTGATGGACACACTTGCGCCTCGTGGAGCTAGGTAGGGGTTTTTTTTACAGGGAACAGCAAACTGAGCACATATAGAACACAGCTTGTCTGGCCTTCCATAGATGTCCGCCATAAGAATAGGTGGACCATGCCTATTTTATACCTGCAAACAGGTTTTTATTGTGGACTGAAAAGGGAGTCTGGACAGGTAGCTCAGATGTACTCAACAGCTGCAGCCTGTTTCTGAATGCAGGGCACCACTGAGAACAGGTCTCTGAATTGAGTTTGGGAATTTGCATTGCAGGAATTCTAGCACTTGCCCTTGCCATCACTTCATGTGTGACTGCATCCCAGCTCTCCAGCTACTCTAAACTGCAGAACAACATCCTCCCACCACTCCTACCTCTGTCCCTCACACTGACCACGGTGTGTGTGTGAACAGGCAGTGAGCCAGTACAGGGAGAGGAGCTGAATCAAACCAGCCCTTACAAAAGGGTGAAACCCTTTCAGCTAGATTAGAGAACTGGACTAGCAGCTGAGGTTGTGTGAGGGCCGGTGAGAGGGGAAGAGTAGGAAGGGTGGTCAAAGGTAGGTCTGGAACAACCCATCCTTTTCCACTAGCCCAGACCATGTTTTCATATCACCCTAAGTAAAATTGTGGAATACAGCATTTTCTTCTCTCAATTCTCCAGCTTCCTTCCTTGAAACAATTCAGCTCTGGCTGACAATCACATTTCCAGCTGCAAGGGCAGGCTGACACCGGGGTGTATTTTGGTGAGGTTCTTAGTGTTGCTTACGAGGCTCTCAGCATCACTCACTTTTGTCTGCAGACATGCTGGGGATGCAGCGCCACTCTGTAGCATTCTGGAGCAGAGTCTTGTACTGGCCATCGCTTCCGTGAAGGAAAACAACTGGGAAAAGAGGAAAGAGAAATAAAGTGCCACCGTCATCCTTTCCTCTTCACTCATGAGCAACCCGTCCTAGCCTCCACCTTCTGGCTTAGAGCCCCCCCAGAGACTCTGTTACGTTAACAAGCTCTGAAATCTGTATTAAACAAGGAGATGAGAAACAGCAGCCCATTTCTCCCACTACTGGTCACTCCCTTCTTAGAACGGGCATTAGTCGGATGAGCTCCTCTCACCTCTGCTGGCTGGGAGACTCCTTTTCCCAGCAGACAAAATCAGCCTAGACATCCTTTGAGGATGGGATCAGGAAAGGGTCAAAGAAGTCTTGGGATAAGCTTAATAAAGGTGGAATATTAATACACTTTCCCTCTTAATCTTCCCAGGCACTGCAGATTTAAAACACCACTGCTAGCTTTATCAAGAGGGGGTAGAACTTTTGAGTGTTGAGGCCTCACCCAAGGGAGTTAAGGAGAAGCACAGCAGAGTTGTGGCAGAGCAACATGATGATCCAGGACAGTACAAGCAAAGGATTTCCCTGTCGGTGGGTGCAGGCAGTGTGGGTGGGATGCACCCTGAGCATTTTGATGGATTCACCCCCATCCTGATAAAATATGGGCAGCCCTGGTACCAGCAATTGCAAGGAGATCGCACTCGCTCCTTGACTGTAACATTGTCACAGGGAGCTCTGAGACAGAGAGGGAGGCCACGTCAGGAGAACCAACATCCAACAGCCAGCCTTCAGGGAGCCTACCCAGATGCTCTCTGATACTAAAGAGACTTCTCAGCTCTTGGTGGGAGGGCGGAAACTGACTTGTTTCATCCAGGACTGGCTTTATTCAGGCAGGTGGGAAAGTGAGAGGAGGGAGGGGAGCCAGGGAATGAACTCTAACTGTGGAAAGGACCCTACTCCCTGGATAAGAGGGCAGAGGGGGAAGAGGGGCAGCAGAACAGACGCTTTTGGTGAAGGGCATTCACCTGCTGGCAGAAAGTGTAGGATATTGTTTTTCCATCTGACAAAAGGCAGTCAACCACCCCCTCCATCCCAGGGAAATTAAGAGACACTGGAACCCACCAAGGCAGACGGTTACAAAGGCAGTTTTGATGACAAGGGCAGAAACAAAGAAGACCCAGGGGTTCAGCCAGGAGCAGCTTCTCTCTTCTGTTGGGGCTGAAAAACACAAGGCAAGAATGGGAATGCCCCAGCCCAGAGTCAGGGGCGGGGCAACCCGGGTGGCTCTGTACCCCAACATCCTGTTGGTACCCTGCTTCCAAGGACTGGGGAACCCCACCAGTGCTGTAAACAGGTCTTGCTGTAACCAGGTCCTGCTGCCTGTCATTAGTAGTGAGTCAGACTCACTGAGTAGGGCAACACAGGGACTGCCCTGAAGCTGCTCTTTTATTTCACTTTTTATCACCAGCCCTGCCTGTACATTTCCCAAACTGCGCTCCTCCTTTCTTTGTCCTGTCACACCTCCTTTCTCCTCAACATGTCTTCTTTGTTGCCCTCCATTACCCCTGTCTTTCACTGAACGCTCTTTCCATACCTCCATCCTTTTCATCTCTCTTTAGAGCTTCTTTCTCTCAGCTACCTTTATTTTGGCTTTATCCCCCAAGCTCTTCTATGCAATAGTTTATAGTCACTCAAAGGAGTGACTGTCCAGCTCAGCGTTTCCAGAGACAGCCACACAGAAGAGGTTGTTTCCACCGGGAGCATGGGCACGTTGCAGCTCTTGGGAGAGCCCTCACATGGTTCTCCTCAGCGGCACCAGAGGTGGGAGCCGTGACTTGGGCTTAACTTGATGTGGATAGTTTTACCTGGGTAACGATAGCAGGATACCACTCTTCAGTCCCACCGTTTACAGAAAAACACAGACCGTAGTCTACCTGGACTTTCATTCCCCTTGGCTCTGGGAAAAAGTTTGTTCTCCCAGCCCAGGCACTCCCCAGTCCCCTCATCTGTTGCTTTGCTCTTGTCCTCAGTCCCTTCTCCTGGTGTGAGGCCAGCCACTGCACCATGCCCATTATCTATCCCAGCCTGTATTTTTCCCCACCTCCCGCTTCTTCTGCAGGACAGAAAGGAAGGTTTTGTGGTTACCTGCAGTTCCAGGACTGACTCTGCCTCGGCAATTCATTATCTCTACCGCAGTATCACTCTTCTCCACCAAGAGTCCACACTGCCAATATGGCCACGAATACAACCTTCCTTCTGCGCATAAGACTGCACCAGGGCAGCTCCCACACTGGTGAGGAGCTTTCACAGTCTCTAATCTGGTGTGCAGAAAAAGCTGTATTCTGGGTATACCCTACAGTACATGGAGATGCGGGAATTTTCATCATTTCTCTGCCAGGGCATTTCACAAGATGCTCGTTGCAACACAGAAACTCAGAGAGGCAAATGAAAACAGACGAAGAGTAGGATCATCCCAGCTCAAACAGCCTCCTTTTGCATATGTTCAAGTAGTTTCACAGGACACTACTGGCCTTACCTCTGTGGTGTTTGCTCTTCCCTGGTGAGTGAGTATGTGTGTGAAAACATCTATGCTGCTGGTATTTGCTAGCAAAGGGTTAAACCCACTCACAGCATCCTGCAAAAGGGAGTCAGAAAATGACAGGAAAGGATATCTGTGACTCAGTCTGGGCAAGTCCCTGTGTGAAGCCTGAGCCCAGTAACACAGAGCACAACAAAGAACTTGCCAACACTGTTTTTAAGTAATCGCTCAGGAAAAGAGGGTGGAGCTTTGAGTGGAGGGATTGCATGGGACCTGTCATTATGGAGCTGGAGGTCGGAAGCGATCAACTGTTGGTGCCAGAATCCATTACAGGTGCATTACAAGTCTTGAAGTCTTACTTGGTCACGACTACAAAAGGCACAGCCAGATCAAAGTGACTTGGTTCAAAACACTGCAGGATGAAGTGTCCCTAAGGATACCCCTAAGGATACCTCTAAGGATAAATATTGTCTACTGGATCTCATCATACTCTGAATGGACTGGGGTAGGTATGCAGCCTTTGCTCTTCCGTGTTCCATCAGCTAGCTTCTCCCTGTGAAGAGGCATGCACAGATGCACTGAGGAAGGAATGGGATAGCTAACAGAATAGCACAAGCACATCAGCTGAAGCCTCAAAAGAGCAGGGCAGAAAGCTGGTTACACATGAGGTCAAGCCTAAATTGTGTGTAGAAAACATCCTCTGAGTATGCTTTTTCATGCACAACAGGCTGCAGGCAGGGTCGAACCACCCAACAGCTCTGTTGCATTAGAAAGATGGTCCATAGATGTGTTTGCTGGGATTGGTGTAGAAGGTGTGAGCTGCTAGAAGGCACTAGCTGCTGAATGCACAATACAGTGAGAGATTCTCAAGCGACATTTTAAAAAGTTCCCAGCCATCATGCTGCAGAACAGAACTGAATTGCACCACAGATGCCCAAAAGTGAGAATGAATTCTATATGCTATTGCTCTAACACATACTTGCTTTTGCAGGCATGGCAGGGAGCGGACGTCGTCTGATCCGTATGGCGAATGCAGACAGTGCAAAACTGTCAGAAGGAAAACATGCTCAGTTCATGTGGTTTAAAATCTAATCAGGATGGATCTAAGCAGTTTACCGATTTATTCATGACATGTAATTAACTGACAAACTGTGACCTGTATGTTCAGGATCAGTATCATCAATCCAACAGACAAAGCACAATTTCAGACACAAAATATCGATAAACACTTCCAAATTTCTAAACGTCTTTATGTAACTAATGCCCAAAAGATCTACCCCCCCCCCCCAGATACACACATTCACATGATTACTTGTGCAACCTCCCATCTCCCACCCTGGCCACAGGAAGTGCAGGCTGCAAGAACACATCCCCCTTTCTGCGAGCAGGGGTTCCCCTATTCTCACACGCTTCCTGCTGCAGATGTAAGGTCCGTGTGTGTCCACGGCATGTTCTACAGCCTGCTCACCCACAGGCCAGTGAGAAAGCACAAGGTCACATATGCACACTGAAGCTGTGGGTCCGTACGTGTTGCACCCGTCATTGCCAGGAATGCAGGCTGCCCACTTCATCCATCAGCGAGGATGCTCTGTTACAGGTGGAGGTTGCAAAACTGCGGGGCAAGTGTCAAACCAGGTTTTGACTGCCACTTCCTTCCCACTTCTCTCTCTTCATTAAAAATCTTCTTGCTTCTAAACTTTGTTTTCAGACTGACTCTGTCTTGAAAGCCTTTTGTAAATTCCCTGGTTACTCTTAGGCTGGTGGTCATGTTCTTTAACAGTTGTGGGTTTGGGGCAAACGCCCTCTCAGATAGTTTCAGGTATTCAATTCACTCAGCTGTTTACATTCACATTCCTGTTCTATCAATGGATGCTATCCAGGCCATTTGACCAAGATGAAGGTCCGTGCAAGCACCCTCACATGAATTCACTTTGGTGTGCGCACAGGGTCTAGAGAGACAGCAAACGACTTTCTCTTCAGCATCGCAAACTAAGATACAGTTCCCAGCAAATCAACAGCTGACCTCACAACATTCAGGTGACGAACAAACTACTCTGTACCACTTTGGGATAAAGAGTTCCAAAGTAGTGACAGTAGACAAACTCTGCACTGGCCTGCACAGAAACTCGTGAGTAGTCCTGGTGCTGTGCAGCTGGAACAAGTGATGGGAGAGGTTACCTCCTCAGTGGAAGGCTCTGAAACCATTGCAAATATATTTCCACAATGGCAGGAGCTTGTTTCTCTTTCCTGCTCCGCAAACACCAGCAGCATGCTTGGGGAGAGCATGTACCAATGACCTCAGGCTTCCTGTACGTCTTTCCCCAGGTCTGTAAGTAAAGATTCTTAGCTGTTTTCTACCTCCTCCAGTCATGAAGAATTTCACGAGTGGCCCTTGGTTATTTCACTTCACAAATACGTGTCAGATCAGCGTGCTGAGACAACAGGGTGGCACCTTGCAGTGCAGAATTGCCAGGGACTCCCGCCCCTGAACTGCTGAAGACAGTGGTACGTGGTTACAAGAAGTGCACTCCTAGAAGAGGCACTGGAGAACCTGGAATCTACTTTCACAGACCTTTGCAGTATAGGAAAGCGTGAACAAGCACAGCATGGATACAGAAAAGATCAATAGGACATGAACCGAGGAAAACCCTGCAGTTAGAGTGCAGGAGTCACAGTTGCAGGAGAAGACATAGAATGCAATTTCCTTCAGAGTTACTCAGGATCTGAGGAGCTGAAAGCCAGAAGCTGGAAGATCAAACTTCATCAGGTTTTTCTGCAAAATTATACCACACAAGAAATTAGTTGCAGCACCTGTTTAAGAGGTGGAGACATAGTGAACCACATGTTGGGAGTACTGAAGGCACCTGGTTTTAGAAGCAACCAGACACCTGAAGTAGGATGGAAAATGCATAAGAGGGATCCAAGCACCAACAAAGAACAGCAAGTGTGCTCATGTTCTGAAATGAACTCATTGGATCTAGTTAACTCATTCTCAGGTGTTGATGGTAGTTTCTCCATCAATTTGAATCCCCTGGGGAGTCCTGCTTTCCAGTTTTCTTGAATTAAGAATGATCTGAAGGGAAAGACTTACCTGCAACAGTCAAATAATGTTTCAGGAAGAGTGCCTAACCCCAGGACTTCGGTGCAAGAAGAACTCTCAAGGAAGGTGGAGAGCCATTCTGTGAAGTGACTGGGTGCAGTCAGATAATCAAGGTGGACCTCCACTAGATTTCTTTTGCTCCCTATCTAATTTCACAGGCTGTGTTAAAAAGGAGGCAAAGCTTGGGATATTTTATTCCACTAATGCAAAAACAAAAGCCTCGAGAGGAGGAAAAAGTCAATAACCAGTCAAAGAGCAGGAACAGCTGCGAAAACTTGGGAAGGGACAATCCAAGAGGTCAAGAAACAAGCTGGGAGGACAAGTGATCTGGAAATGGGAGAAATTTACTAAAAACAGAGAATATTAAATACTTAATACTGGAAGACAGAGAGAGACCATTGCACCATGGAGAAGAAATCTGACATGGAAATAAACCCTGAGACAAGTAATAATGTCACCTTAGTTCTCAATTTCTTTACAGCTTTATTATCTGCAAACATGTCTCTTCTTTTAAAGTGATTTAGAAGAGTGTTTCTACTCTTCTTCTAGTGATCTGAATTAACAAACTGCATATCTGTAACAAGAGTAAGTCTTGAACAGAAAACCTTTTAGAGACAAGGACATAGAGGAAGAAAAAAATGGGTAGTGGTTGTTTTGTTTCACAAACATTAAGACAGCACTCATCATTGGCACTTAGACCAAGAGAGAGTCCCATCACCCAGCAAAACAGTCGGAAATGAAGTTAGGTAAGAAGACAGGACGGACTGCAGTGATCAGGCACAGGATGAGGCTGGACAAGTGTACGGACCAGCAACCTGTTTACATGGGACTGGTTCCTCTTATCCCCTTTCCCTCACTTTTCCCACGCTCCGTCCTCCCCAAAATACTTTGATCCTTCCCTTCCCCCACCTTTGGTTCTTCACCTCAACATCCCATAAAAGGTCTCATGCAATCCCAAAAATGCTCTCACCAGCACCTCACAATGCGTCACATACCCCTTATAGTCAGTAAATCCCCTCAGTCTGCCAGGTGGTGTGGGGAACCTCTCCCATTGAGTCATCTTGATGGGCTTCACAGCCGATCCACGGGCTGATCATTGTCCTTTGACAAGCTTGGGAAGAAATAGACAAGAATGCTCTGTTTCTCTGACTAGGTTACCTGGGTTCCTCTACTTGCCATCATTCCTCTGTGTTCCTCTGTGTTTGGGGAGAAGGTCCTCTAATCATATAACCAAACCAAATCCCCAGATGTGGTAGATTCAAGGCTGTTTAATTTTAGGCATGGGTACCAAAACCACAGTGTATTTGAAAATGGGAATCTACCAGTTAGAAAGGCATTTTCATTATACTTGCTGGACATCATCAAGGGTGAGCTTGGCCCTCATAAAACTCCCCGAAGAGAAGAGGAAATTCCTTGTCCACAGTGGGTCTCCAGGGGAGGCATATTAACTCTAGGGTTAGATATATGACATAGGGGGAAAGAAGTAAATTGTGCTGTTCTGCTCACAGCTAGAGCATCGGGCTTAGCCAGAGTCAGAGGGGAATGGGGGGAGCCCGAGGCAAAGTAAGAAAAACAATGAAAAGAAGTCTGTTAAGTCGGACCTGTGAGGAAAGATGAGGCTTGGCACTGTGAAAAAGCAGCTGGAAGAGGGCAGGAGAGAAGCATCCTAGCCACAAAGAGGCTGTGAAGAACACAGTGGTTGTGTTCCCACCAGAGGACACTGGAGGACATTAACTCAAGTGGCAGCAGGGAAGGATTTTGTTCTACAGGAGAGACACACTGCTGCCCTGTGAAGCTGGAGAGGACTGGAGCACTAGGAAGGTAATTTCCAGCACTGCTCCTCGCCGGTTCCCTGATACCACCACAAGTCTCTACCGGTCGCCACTTTCTGACAGCTTTCTGTGACGCTGCTTCGTGTCAGTGTGCATTATTGACAGTATCCTGTGGAATTAAGTCAATTCCCTACAAGTGTCAGTGCTACACCGGTGGAAATAGCCTTGTCAACCAGTGGGGATGGCTAGTTTCCAGAAAAGGACTTCTGAACCTTGCCACCTGATATTATGTGGTTGAACAACATCAGGCAGTTATGAACCCCAGGAACCTCATCATTGAAAATGGAGCAGGGGTCCAGGTGTCCCAGCCAGCTCCCAGGCAGACTAGAGGGTCTGAAAGGCAGCTACTGGGAAGACCAGAAGTCTTGACCAGTTACAGGAGAGACCTTTTCCTCTTTGTCTCTACCATGAGACAGAGTACAGGGAAGGCCAGGGGATTTAGGGCCCATTATGTGTAGATGGAATGACTAAGCCTCGCTGCTGGAGGTGTGCGTATTACATGTGCAAACATTTTTTTTCCCTCTGCTAGCAGGTTTTCATCCTGCTACCAGTCAGAGAGGGGAAAGAGCTCGGGCTGCTCATGCTCTTTGTGCTTGAATCAGTGCTTTCTGTCTGTGTTCACCTGTGTGGCTGCTTTATATATTCTTTTTCTTCCATATGTATCTGTACATGTACATATCGTACGTGCACGCTCAGTCTCACTACCAGCTGGGGCTGGGGACATGGAGCTGCAGCAGCCTTCCTATGGGATTCGGCGGCTCCTGCCACCACCCACTGGCGTTCACAGAACTACTCCCGCTGACTGGCTCAGGAAGTCAAACCTCCTGGTCACCTTGTCTCCAGTACAAATTCTCCCCTCTCTTTGGGACACAGAGAGCGGATTCTCCTCACACTGTGCAGGTCAGACTCCTGGCACAAGCTCCTGTTATGCTCCTGGGCAAGACTTTCAGCCATGGAAGCAAATACTCCTAACATCCCTCGACCTGGTTTCCTGTGCCCAGTAACTCCAGAGCTTTGGCTATGTGGAATGGGACTGTGTAGCCAGGTTGTCTCTGAGGGGTTTGCTCTCACTGGGTGGGTGCAACGTATACTGCAGTAGTTGCATAAGGCTTTACGCTGGCACACCAACATCTTTTGATCATACTTTTACAAAAAAGCTGCAGCTTAGAAAAAAAAAGAGAGAGACCACACAATGACGTCTTCATTGGTCCAATATTGTATTTTCCCTTGTATAGGATATCAGCATTTATTCAGAAAAAACAATGCAACTAGAGGACATTCTCTGTATGTCCCAAGCAAATGCAGACACCCCTGCTCAAGGAGAGAAAGGAAGTGACAGCTCTGAACATCTGTCTTCCATTCCTCATTCTTCCTGGAGAACTCAACCTCTTTTCATCCAGTGGCTGCCGGACCCACTCAGAGAGAAGAGGACACAAGAGCCCAGGACCTGCTTGATGACCCTGAGCCTTCATGTGTTCTCTGAGCCGGTATGTGCACTGGGGATGCAGGACACAGGGTAATATCAGTTCCACTCACATCATCCCACCCAGCAGAGGGAAGATGCAGGATCCAGGGACCCCCATCCCTCCCAACACAGCCTTGAGCTGTTCCCAGCTCACTGCTTATCTCTCGGTTTTTCTCAGGATGAAGGTCACTCCGTCACACAGTTACTGCTGTAGCTTCACAAATTCGATAATGCTCCTTGCATGGGACATCATTCCAGTTGTACATTGTTGAAACCATGTGGATTACAACACACATCTCATCAGTCAAATTAGATGGTTCACCTCTTCGCCAGAACCTGAGATAGAGACAGACATGTTACTCCCCACCGTACCCCGTAGAGCACTGCTGGAACAGGCCATGGCAGGATGCACAGCTTGGAGGGGAGAGAAAAAAATTCCAGGTGCTGGCTCACAGACAGAAGCAGTACCCTTCCTCCCACTCTGCTAACCCACTGGCACCAGTCCTGGTCATCTCTCCCTGTGCCCCACCTCTTCCACATCAGCGTCTCAGCACTGGCCATGGCCGTGCGTATACACACAGAGGTGAACGGTGGGGGCCGTACGGAGGGCAGGCAAGGCTGCTCATCTCTAAAGGGTTCTTCCTGCTGGCGAGATGCAGCTGCTTCTGTGCCTACAGCATCAATAGCCACGTCACAGGTAGTAAACTAACAACCACTAACCAGCACAGAAGGGGCTGTGCAAACCTGGTGTCCTCCACAGCCCTCTCCTGCTCCACCACTGTCCTCTCACAGGCAGTCGTCTCACCTCCCTCCCATACTCTCGTCAACTACCGGGAGCCGCACCAAATACTCTCCATCTGGAGTGAATCAGGAAAGTCTGGAAACAAGGGAGAGTGCAGCGTCCATGAGGTGCAGGACTGAGGGGAGGGAGGTGGCGGGGGTCCCCATGGGATGGGGCTGGGGGCAGAGGGGAGCCGCCCTGAAGGGCTGCAGAAAGGGCATCCCAACTCCCCAGCAGGAGCTGGGGGGTCTGAGTCCCCTCCAGGGCCTGGCACTGTGTCGCTGGCTGCTGTGCCCCCCTCAGCCCTGCACCTACCTGCTCTGCTTCACTGGTGATCACTGCCAGGTGGGAGCCCATCCCAGTGCAGTTCTGCTCACTCTCAGCCAGGGGCATCAAGTCAGCCGACAGGTAGTAGCAGCTCTTTTGAAAGACGTTCCTTCGGGCAGCACGTCCAGCCTTGCCCTGCGCAGGGAGAGACCACAGGGTGAATGCTAATAAAGAGAGAGACGGTGACTGCAAGGATCCCTGTTCTCCAGCAACAACGCCCATGGTCTCCTTCCATCACTTTGCCTGCCAGAAAGGGCTTGAATAAACAAGGATGGTACAGAACTTTATTCCCACTGCTTTGGGGCATGGCCAGCACACTTTGTGTACACAAACGCATGGTCATCCTTGTCACATGATCTCAGGTCTTGACAAAGATGAAGGTCTTGTGGTGATCTGGTTCGAATTCTCCTGGTACAGCCTCCTCTAGGCCTTTCGCCCCAGGGAACAGGGAACACTGCTCCTTTCCCTGACTAGAGCTGCACTTCTGTTATTGCTCCACTGCTAACCTGCCCTGTGCCGCTGTACAATATGTCCCTTGCGTTTTGTCAGCAGTCACAGCCACCCTGCCCGCCAGGACACCATGAACACAGCCTTCCCCTCCCACCAAGGCTGTTAGCGGGGAACCTCCCTTCTCCTCACCTCTCCCTTCCCGAGGCTGCCTCGCCTCTCTGGAGTCTGCTCCGGGTGCTGCTTGCTGTCAG